ACCTGTTAGAACCTGTTCAGTCAGTCCATGCTTGCGGCGAGGACATTGAAGACACAAAGAGCGTTAAATACCTTGATAGTGTAGTTCATAACTCTGGGTTGCCAGACTAGGAAGTCAGTAGATGGATTGGCCTGGTAACAGGGATCATGAACTCTCTCGAGAAGAGTATTTAGTGTTGCCATTACCTGTCCAGCAGGACCAAGCTACGTGTTTTCAAGGCCCTGATAATGCCAATTTCTTAATACGGTAGTGAAATCTGGACGTTATCCTGTACACTGGAATCTTGTCTTGATGCCATTTGTAATAGGTCCTAGCTCCAGATCATGGTGTACAGTTGGCGGGGCCACGTGTTCAACCAATGGTTACACAGTGAGACTGACTCAGGCTATACAGGAACCTAGTTTATTTCTCACAGGATGATCCTGTCCACCATGTTGTCTCTGTGCGAGACAACCCTGGATGGAGGAGGCCTGTTGGACGACCTAGGAAGTCATGGCTTGGGCAGATTGATCAAATTTGTCATGAAGAGCTTGAGATGGATAAAGTCCCTGCCTGGTGGCACTCCATGAGGGAACCTTGCGGGTGGAAACAAAGGGTGGATGCAGCTATGCGCCTCCGTCATCAAAAAGGGTAAAAGTGAGTTAATGATTAGGGTAAAATGTGTTAGATGACAAAGATTGTAAAACTCTGTAGGATAGAATGGTAGCATAATGGGTAAAGAGGGGAGAGCAAATGGAGTATGGCCGGATTTATAACGAGAAAGGGATAAAGGGCATAGGGCGATTAGATAAAATAAATAGTATTACTGTGTCTTAAGAACAGAAATACTAAATGGGAAAATTGCAAAAGAGCTATACTGAAACAGTCAATGGATAATGTGGGTAGAAATAGTATTGGAAAAGTAGAATAACCCAGAGAATTAGATAGGGGAAAAGGGTAAGGTTGTGAAGTATCAAGATGTCATGAGGGGAAGAATCTGGAGAACACTGTTGAGACCGAAAGGAGTCATGTGAGCCTCCAGGTGGGAGTGGTAAGGATAAAAGGGAAAGAAAAGGGTGCACATGGGGAAGGGGAGGATGTGGTATTTTGGGGAGAGTGTGAGGAGGAAGGGTAGGGGGAACTTGATGAGGAGGCTGGATTTCGGCAAATACTTGCAATAAGGAATTCAGGGATTGGAAGGAAGGTGAAAGGAAGCGCGATGGCCTGGATGTTTTGGATGTCTTCAAGTTTTTCTGGAGGGGAGTAGCTTTTCTTGTAGGGAGAAGAGGGGACAGATGTCCGAAGAGCAGAGGAAGAGGTAGATGTATGGGAGGATGTGGTATAGAAGATATAAACTTTATGAGGGAAGTCATGTCTACGGAAGCTAATCTTG